TATAACCCCCTTGCTCAAACAGTTAAACAATGCCGTCAAGGCGAAAAATCACTAACGAAAATCTAAAAGCCTATGCCGTGAAATATAACCACATTTTTGATCTTCACTTTCTTTCTGAGCATGCTTGAACTAACGCTTTGTGTAACAGATGATCTTAAACCCACATGTTTGATGACTTATATAGATTTAACATATAAATAAACAGCCAAAAAGAACAAGCGAGGTCCGGTCGGTTCAGGGTTATCTCACCACAGTTTGCGATCTTCGGATTGTTAGATGTAATCCCTCTACCATTCATTTGACCTCATGTTGATTTTTAGTTTGAGTAGGGTTACACTATTTCATAGTCATTAATACGGCATCGAAAACCCTTGAAATTTGCTGATAGTAGACTCAACTTCGATCGCTTATATCTCATGCGTACTGGCGAATGTTGACAAGCCTAACGTTTAGGATTAGGTAAATTGTTTTCTTTTGAGCATGCTTGAGTTAGCGCTCCTGTGTATTATCCCACACGTTTGGTTACCTATATAGACGAAAGGTATAAATAAAGAGCTGATATGTTAACTTTCGAGGTCCGGTCGGTTGAGGGTTATCAGTCGTCAGTTTTGCGATCTTCGGGTTGCTACAGATGTATGTCCTCATCTATTCTTTGACCTCAATTTACTTCAAATTTTTACCAGAAATGATTGTATCCACGCTTGATGGCAAGTCGCACTTTTTGGTCTCTTCTCACAGCCGTTACGAGGCTCGTCCCTGGAGACTAACTTTTTGATAGCTGTAATAGAAGCTAATAGACTATAATACTAATTTACTAGACGTAATATATGGCTGTATCCCTACGAAGTCTTTTCCCTTGAGGCGGAAATACACATTCGAAATCTCGTTGCCGGAAAGCTAGTGCATTTGGCTCGTTGAAACCAGTCTGAAGTAGTTGACGAAAACAAACTTAGATTTGCATATGACACGCCAGCCGTGTTAAGTACGGTCGTTTACTGTGCACGACACGATTGAAATATTGAGCYGTCAAACCATACGAACAGTGCTGTAGCAATAAATTAAATCAATGGATCTTATTCTAAGTTTTTAGCTCTGATTGCACTATGAAAATTATTCTTCAAAATTAAGTTTGTACAATAAGGTAAAATGGAGTTCTACTGCGTTGTTGTATTGAAGAGCTTTGATCTAGCATAGTTTGCGGGCAGAATATGACAAACGTCCTAGTTTTTAAAACAGTGAAGCGTTGTTATGACATCAGCTGTTTCAGTGAAGCAGTGAATATCTATACCATCACAAATTAGGTTTACCAACTACTCAATTTACATAAAGTAGATAATGAGATCAAATAAATCGTGCTTCGCTTGCCGTTTTTGGACCGCCTGATGCTCCCTTCTTCCAAACACTCGACCTCAAATTCTATGTTCAATTCTGTTTATGTTATCATAAATAAATGTCATAAATATCATAAATAAATGATTTATTTATTTTTGTGTGTATATTGATTTATTCTTTGTGTGTGTTTGTCCTAATATTGCTCATCACCATATTGATCTTGATCTTGAAGTCGCCGTTGAATGTGAAATTGTCGCAATTTCAGTATGCTAGTGACATAGTAAATGTAGTCTAAGTCCATTACCAAGTTGATGCTTCTTTTACTGAGCATGCCCAAAAGTCGAATCGTAGCAGTGACATCTTTGACCCACACGCTTACTTGATTCTATAAATCTAACCATAAATAAAGAGCGAATTCACCTTACTGGAKGTCCGATCGTTCGAGGGTTATCAATTCTAAGCTTGTAATCCTCGGATTGCCTGATGTACCCCCTCGTCCAAACRCTTGACCTCATCAGTTGCTTTTACAGTACGTTTATATTTTTACTTTTTAGTCGGGATGATAGAGCATCGGCCTCCTAACTTTAGTTCCCGGTTTAGTTCTACCTTTTCGTCAATCTATGTTTCTATGTGTCAGGTCGCGTTTTGAACAACGAAASTGGCCTGAGAGGTCAATTTTAATCAAAAACGTATAAGATATCACTAAAAATCTAATGCATGGCGACATTTGGTCTCCCGTGTGCCGAGTAGTATGTATTTCATTATAGATAAAGTTTAGTTTTGATTAGCTGATCAAACACAAGCGCAAGATCTGCACTTTAAGTGGTTCTTGGCAGTAGAGGACTGCATGTGATATCTATCAACAGCCGGCGATTGCCAGAGGCCAAGGAACCTATTGTGATGGTTGATCATTTCTCCCGTGGGGCCTGACGCGGGGCGCCCTCTTTCCCTGCCTACAGTAAACATATCCGTCTGAAAGATTCGGAAAAGGAATTTTATCCACGGCATTGAGCGGTCCTTAGAGCTTTAATTTAGCTGTAATCAAAGACATCTTTCTTGTATCTGTTGACTTATAAACTCATGATTAATTCTCGAACGTTTTCTTCGATAAAATGCTTATTATTATCGAAACTGTATTTTTATATCCATGTCTCAAAATTACTATCATTCGCCTGATTATAGTTTTGCAATAGAAGCGAAAGCTTGCTAAGTTTTCTTTGATTTCTTTATCAATTTTATCTACGGATTATCATTCATCCTCTTCAATTGTTAACATTCACTATATTTATATTCAATAATGTGTAAACTTTTATATCATCAAGTACGAAAATGTACATGGAACGTTCTAGAGGTCTTTTTAAAATTGTGTATCTACCTGGTTTGTAAACCACTTACGTCAAGAATTTCAAGAGATTTGTGCCGTGGTGTTTATCMGAATAATAATAATGTCTGTCTGATATAAGAACTGTACATCTAATTTTCCTGCTGTGATGATGTTGGAATAACGACAATTGAGGAACAGCTCGGTGAAAGCCGTCACTGCATCGAGTACATGGGCCGCAAACCAGTACTCGGCACCCAACCCCACCCCCATCAAATGATAAATTCACTGAATAATGATTATGCAAACCCTGTATAGTTTGCTAATTCCTGAGCTGAGCTCTGATTGGCTCGCTGCTCCCTAGGGATTTTGGTGACGTCATATATTAGCATAGAAGTTCGCCGAATAGACTACCCCTGATTAGATATTAGATATCTATAAGTGTCTTCATAGTACGATGGTCTAAGAGGGTAGCTAAAGGTATGCTCTAGTGGGCGGCTACCCCCTCACTCCCTGGCCTTTTGGTTAAGACTAAGTTTTATGTTCACTCGGGATAGCGTGGAAGAGCCGAAATCTCTAACCGTAACGTAAGCCGATTCGACGCCTCAGCTTCATAGAATGTCTCGGGGGAATCGTCCCATCTTTTTAGTTTTTTATTTTCATTATTTCTTATGTATTCAGGGGGGTACATCTTCTCTTGAAGTGAAAGTTCTGAGTTCGAGCCCTGCTTGTGGAATTTTTTTTTTCGCTTGTTTAGTTTCTTTTCGTTTGTTTCTTGTTTTCTTTTCTTCTTTCTTGTTTTCTTTTCTTTACTGTTGTTACTTCATTTGTATTTTTTTCTAGAGATTTTCTCTTTTCAACATTTCAACTTTAAAACATATCAAGGACTCGCAAGGAACGCCTGCTACAAGTGGATGGTTATGGTTCGGTCACTCAACACGATGACATAGTGACGAGAGGCCCCATAAGGCATTTCGTCACAAAAATGGTTAAATTAGCCAAATATGGTAATGTGTTACTCWATCTTTTATTTACATGATCTTTTAGGTGAAATCTATTTAAATCTCACGTAATTTGCATATTATGAATAAACTAGACGCTCTTAGAGCGTGGAGTCGGGTTAGCTATTTTGAAAAATTGAGAAAGACAGGAAATTACTCCTGGCTCGATATTTCTAGCGTTTTTACGTCTTTGCGCCAAGCCATCACAAAAGAATATCGTGGCGCTTGAATAAACACTTAGAATTTTGAACTAAATGGTAGAGGTAAAACCTAACTAAAAAAACTAGTGGAAGTAACGCATTC